CTCAGTTTTTCACATGACTGCATAGAATCCTGTGAAAACTTTCTTTTTCACATGGCTGCAGAAAAACAAACCTCTGTTTTGCTTTGTTGCTTTGCATGATTTACAGTTCACAATAATGCTTATTTATTTTATACAGCACTTTTGAGGAGGCCCTTGAGAAGCTAATCCTCTGTCTCAAAGAAAGGATTTTACCTCTTTTCTCTTTGAAGCCACCTTCTCTTTACTCCAACTTTCTTTTGATTGGCAGCCCTTGACAAACAGAAGACCTGAACAGCAGGTGGGTGGGACTGCCAGGCTCACAGCTAGGGATCTGTCCCTGGGATGACATTGTGCAGAGCCAAGAGTAGGAAAACCTGTGAGAAGCTGAGCCATTGGAGCAGGTGGGAGCTGAAGTTTTAGGTTCACAGTGATGAATTTAAGATTATATGAGGGAAAATAAAGTGAGCAAGAAAGGCCATTTTAGAGATTTACTCTTGTTAGTTTGCAACTTGTAATATTTTAGTGGAATTACAATCTAAAATATATGGGAACCAATGCACATTACGCTGTACTGGAGTACTTGGGTGTTACTGGGCTATCGTGAGGAACATTGTAGATTACATATTTTTTTGTATGTTTACCTTTTGCCCCAGCTGTTTGCTCCATGTTAATGCATTAAGCTTTGAAGATATACGCCCTATGTTGAAATTGTAGATACAGACGCTCAAAAACACATGCACGCTTGATATACTCCACTTACCTCTTGGACAGCAAATACCATCTCCCCCCACAAGGCAGACAACACGGTGTCCCATACTGCAGCCTGAACAGAGACAGCGGGTGTGTTGTTCCCCTGCCAATAAAGCTGATTAACTCAGAATGATAGTCTCGGTCTCCACTGCACAAACACACGTGTATGGCATTCCTATTTTTCTTTATTTCCTTTCTTTTTTCTATTTGTTTATGTTGAGTGGTTATTTACTGTAATTGGCTGATTTTTTTCCCATCAGATATATCATTAATTGCAATTTTAGGGTGATATATGCTTCTGTTTTGCGTTGTTGCTTGATATTATTTTACTTACTGTTTTGGTGTCCTTGCTACTGTGACTTCCATCTATCTTTTGTATAAGTCAAATTTCCCTGCAAGGACAATAAAGCTTATTTGATATAATCTAATCTTCTCTTAGAGCAGGCAGCTGGCGGATGAGAAGAATTCGGAAATATTTTAATAGCTATCAGTAGCTTGACACATGACAGCATACTATTTATTTTACTGTTGGATCAGCAATAAAACCAGTCTTGCATAACTGATGGTTAAGAGCTGGTAAGATTTTGACTTTCAACACTTGTCCTTGGCCTGCCTTTTACTGCACCTGCCTGTTTCCTGGCACATATGCACAAGTTCAACATCTCCTCTACCATCCACTCTCTCTTTTTTTCAAGAGGCCCATCTCAGGCTCAGTATTGTAATTTGACACTGAGTTTACTTTGAGAAATTGCCCAGGCTCAATCATATTATCCTTACTGTGCAGAGCTGAATTATACATATACATGAAAATAATTCATTTGCCAGACACGCCAACATTCATTATTATTTTGATTGTCTTATTCTAAATGGACAAGCAAACAGATGACTTCTGCTAAGGAACACTTTCTGAATGCATAATAATGCATATATAATCAAATTCATTTAGATGGAGTCAGTAAAGCCTGAATAAGAGACACCTATGATGCATCTGTATATGCATATATAAATTCCAGTCCTCAAAACATGTAACATTAATTTCTGGCTGTCTATGTCTGAAACAGAGCGAGAGAGGGAGTGAAAGAGATGTGCATGGTCGCACTTTAAGGAAAGAAACATTAAGAAATCATGAGTTACCATATTAATAAATCTCCTTGCCCTCTCAACCTGACCTTTTCGCTGGCTGTAATTTTGTTAAAAGATTCAGTTTGGCAGATATTACATTTATGTCATTAATGTGATTCACTGAATGACCCGAAAGCATAAATTACTTGCAAGTCATCCTGTAAATCACTATAAAAGAGGGGTTAGTAACTCACAAAAAAGGAAGGAACACAAACGTTATAAAAAGTTTTTTGTTATAGAAATAAAAAATAATAAAAATACAAAGTGACTCTACAGCCAAGTTTACTGATAGAAAACAACTTCAGTGTTATACATGACAAAGAAGCTATTTTAACTAATATGTTCAAGGTCGAAAAGCTACAATGGAACAACTTAAATATGGGTGTTATGTTTAAGAGCAGATGGCTCCCAAGGCTTTATTTTAACTCACTGCAACTGGCAAAAAAAAGGTATTGTAACTATGTAAGAGGAATCACTGCAGGCACTGTTGTTCTTCTGAAGGGATGGAAAACAGACTGACAACAAATGAGAAAAGTGAGTGATGATAAAAGCCTCAGCAGACATGACTATGACAGAGATATGAGATGAGATGTAACTGCAGCAGCTCTTTCATCCGCTCCACTTTGGTGGCCCTGATGGGCACAGTGAATCCCAGCAAGAAAATTCAACACCCTCTCCAACCGGAACCCTTTATGGTTCACAAAAGCTTCTATTCAAATACAGTTTTATGAATAATGTGGCCATGTGTCTTTACAAAGATATGAGAAGACAGTGAATTTTGTGACAAGCTAAACCTTCTGTTCAATGAACGGCTTAAAAGGGAGATATGAATATAAATAGGTGCAAAAAGAGAGTGTGAGATCAAGGCCATAGTTATAATATATATCACAGATTCCCTCAATATTCAGATGGGCTCGAGATGGTTCTGCTCGTCCTTAAATGTACTGAGAAAAGCATCAGCAAACCGCACATCATCAGAAATTATCATTGCTTGATGAGCATAATTATAATTATAATAACTGCCATTATCAGTGTTAATACAATGCATTGCAGCCCTGTGGGATGACTGCCTAAATGGTTTTACTGGCTAGCTTTGTGTAAACATAAAATAGAATATTCCTGTCTGTTGTAATGGGTCACTTACAGTATAAATGCTATGGTTTTATATAAAGAAAACAACAACAACTTCTTTTTCCAAGAAATGTATGTAATGTATGGTAACGTTAAACATACTTTTTGTTATTCTTTGCTAATTTTTCACTAAAATCTCAGCCACCAGGGGCAGTCTTTTCCTAGCTGGTGTGTTATAGTGTTTTTCAGATATGCGCTGCTGCTTAACCTTTACGTATTTTTAGATACTCCCGTTTTCTCAACAGGCTTTTCCATTTTCAGACTGTGGTTGGAAATAATGTGTTCTTAACATCTTGCATGCTTAAAAATAGGTTACACTGATTCATCACGCCATCTTGTGATACAAAGAGATATTACATCAAAGTACAGCTTAGCCCTTGTTCAACTTGAGCTGATACAGCCCCAAAACAATACATACACGTTTTGAATGTTAAGTCATGGCAGCTGTTTCTTTACATTCTTTCAATAGCTTAAATCATTTTCAAATGTAATTTTTAAACACAGGAATTTACAATATATATCTTTAATTGTGTAAATAAGTATTATAATGGATTTTAACAAAATGCTTTTGGCAAAATTGAGGCAAAGAACCATCACCTGCCTCCAAACATCCAGATATTGATTTGTTTTCCCAGCATTGACTCCATGGCCATCTTTTTGCAATGTTTCTAGTTTTAAAGCTGATGTTTCAAGCAAGGTTTTGACTCAACTCTGTAGACTGTACAACTATTACCTCTGAGGATCCTAAATCATGTCGGTTTTTCCAGTAAAAACTGGATTTTTCTTCAGGGGAGGTTACAGTTTAGACTTACCCAAGGTGTTTTGGTTAAATTTCTTTTAAAAGGGTTTGAGTATGTAACCTCAGTAGTATCCTGTAAAATCATTGATGCAAGCTTAACATGGCATTGGAGAATGTCATCCATCTAGTTCAATGTTTTAGACAAGCCAAAAAAGCAAAATTCACCACCTGACAAAGTTGAACCTGGCCAGAATATTGCTGCCGACGTACTATTCTGAATTACACAGAGGATTTCCCTCTGAGCACAGCACCATTTCACCATCACTCATCACTCCATGTGTGGGTGAGTCCCACTAGGAATTTAATTTGTTTCCTGCAAATAGGTTACAATTCATAGGTGTGTTAGAGGATGTCTGCTTGAGTTATTACACTGTTTCAAATGCCTGAAGCCATTAGACTTTTCATGAACTTGCACCAGCCTGCTGTGCTATTAGGACGGTGTAAATTTAGCACCTTAGTGCAGAAAAGATCTGTAAAGAGAGGAACATCTTCTGTTTTACAGTGTGCATTTGAGAGATGGTAATGAGTTTTCCTTTATTAACATTTCAGATTTTCATTAGCTGAGCGTAATAAATATCAAGCCTTTCATAACCCACCGGTCTTCTAAAGCTTTTTTGGCCGTTACTATCACTCCGAGTGTTTTGAGAATGACACATTACAGCTAATTTTTCAAGTTGGCAAACAGCCAGTAGAGGAAAAGTTTAATTTTTAACTGCATGCTCAAGGTCTTTCAAAGACCTTTAACAATGGTCAGCAAATTACTTAGTCCACCAATTAATTAGGAGATAGAGAAAAAATGAAAATGAATTGGTTTTGATGTTGTTAAATAATACATTTATTCTTAATACCTTCTTTATGTTAGTATGCCCATGAAATTTTGTGCCTGTGTCTCTATGAGGAAGGAGAACACCTTGAGAAATAGATGATTATGAAAAACAAAACCCCACAATGTAAATAGACGAGTTTAAAAATAAGATGTTTGTCTGTCTGTGCACAGGAGGACTCTTTTAAAAAGTAAACATTTTAAGGGCACAAATTTTCACAATGCTTCTGAGAGAATTCACGCTGCTTTGTAGCTGCACAGAAGAGACTGCTCATATTGTAGTTTTGCCATCTTAGTCATAGCATTAATTAACCTTTAACAACCTCATCATTTATACATTGCCCAGTTAGACTAAATCCTGCAATAGGTCCCCAAATGAAAGCAAAAAGCAAAATATTTTGAAATATTAATGCCTTTATGACAAAATAGAGCACATTGTACAGCATTAGTGATCATTGTAAAAGACACCATTTCTCCAAAGAAACGATATGCTCCTCTATAAGGTATTAGATTAGGATATAAATATACACATATTCCCAAATTTGACAGCAACCATAACATGCAACTCAGTCATGAAAACACTCAAATATTAAATCACAGACACATGCTCGCATGGTCCTTCTTTATAACAGCTCAACATCAACATTACAAAAAAACAAAACAAAACATTTACATCTGTGAACTGATAATTTTCCCATCACTCGACATACACACACTGTATATACATATAAAAGTATTCATACAGGCTAGTTTATGTGCTTAAATTCATTATAGTTCTGTTTTTGCACTTTTCAATTCATCTTGACTTGCTGTGAAGTCATCCTTAAGCCATTTGTTGAAGACAGCAATGGGGTCAATGTTCCAGTGTTTATGAAAGGAGATGGGCACCTGGTGAGCTAGGAAGTCTCTGGCATAGTCCTCTGGGCGTGCCTGAAAGGTAAGATTAAGCATGGTAATTTATATTTGGAAGCTGTCTCAGGAGACGTAGGAGAAAAGGTATGAAAGCACGAGTTTATGTTCAGATGCCTCCTGAAAATAGAGAAAGTAACACTTATGATGTCTAATTATAGGTCATGCATGCTTGTGGTGTAGCGACTCATTTGACATTTAACTTTTTCACGATTGTGAGAAATTACTTAAAGCCATTTTGGAAAGTCAGAGCAGCAAATGCACAGGTTCAAATGCACTTTTGGATGTGAAACAATCACCTCCCACCTGGAATCAGCAGGCCCTTTTGTTTTATGTCAAACTGCACAGCCTTTTGTCCCCTTCTCCCATGTACTAGGGAAATAAATGTGGTTTTGATTGGCTCTAGTAACACTGGAATCTCACAAGAAATGTGTGACCTACAAAGAGATGTGCTTATCTATGAATGCATGATATGCCACTCTATAGGCATATTTTACGCCCACTGTCTGTGGTGCCCTGTTGGCACCCTACCTGTATATAAGTATATATATGCTTGCTATACTCCCTCACATGGTGAATAAAAAAAAATAACAGACTTAAGACTGGAAACAAGAAAACTGCACGTAAAGACGAAACATGAGTTATTTACATACCATGTTTACATGGATGTAAACCTGTGGAATTCATATGAGTTATTTACAGATTATGAAATGTACATGACGAGATTTTATAAGTATATGTTTATGCTCCTGGGGATCTGAGCAGAAGAATACTTCACATCGGGTCTATACATAAGCTTTTGGCAGATTATATAAATATTATCTGTCAATGTACACACATGATGTACACGTTAAAGTGAAGAAGCAGTAGGAAATTAAGTGGTCTAAAAACCGATTTAACCCAGTTACATAATCACACATGGTATTAGCAACATTTTAGAGTTTCTTCTTCTCAACCTTAGCTATGTTTGGATAACATCAGGCAAACAGCGATGTCATGGAAATGAGATGATATGAAAATGAGTTTGCAAAGATGAACGATTTTGCTTTCTTCCTTTTTTTGACTGTTTGACCTAAACACACGCATCTGTAATGATGCCCGACCGCAGGAGCACCAGCGCAATTGTACTCTGCCTTGTTTCTGAAGCTGTCACTAAAACATAACAGGAAGACAGCAAGTCAAAGGAAAAAAAAATCTCCTGTTATTTTCTTTTGGAAAATGGCTATCTAGCTGTTTTGGAGACTGCTATAAGTCTTCCAATTTTTTTCTGTCTTGCCACTTTCAGCAAAGCATTGCTGGATAAAAAAGATCAATATCCCGTGAAGTGTAAATATATTTTTATCACTGAGAAGGGTGGACATATCCTAGAAGTCCCACAGGACTGCTTCTACCCACAGTAAGTCCTATTCACATGTTAAGCGCTCTGCTTGTCGCCCGTAGCTTTGTAGCTCACTACTGGTTGCTGGTGGACATTCCAGTCTTATGTATTTGACATACCGTGACATATCAGTCAACAGTATCCTCAATCTCAGCTATTCTCTTCCTGTGTTTATGCCCCCATGCTGTCACCCAACCTGTCTGCGTAGCACCCCCTTCATTCAGGCGTATTGATGAGCATTTACCCTTTTGGGTTTGAGGACTCTGGTATTGTTTTTGACACTTTTTTAAGGAACAAATGTGCTTTTCCTACCTACAACTCAAAATGTTAGCAATAAAATGACCTTTTTCACAGAGTATGTGTAGAAACTCTGTGTAGAAGAGTTTCTTCTATACACAGTCCACACTGCACGTTTATATTAGTGATGCTGTAATTGCCAGGTCCTGATTTGTAAGTACAGTCCACATCAACGCACCCATAATTATAGCTAGGAATTTTCTAAGAGCTCAGCTTACCTAAATGAACCAGGGGAAAAGGATAGTAAATATGAGGTTCAGACTGCATCACACTTTCAGAAGTACAAACTCTAATGTGGATGGTTTCACCGTTCACTAGCTTGAAATTACAGAACCTGTGATAGAAAATTACTTTAGCATATGCAGTGCCTAATCAACCAGAAAAACTAAAAAAAATCCTGCGTAGGTGTACAGGGCTTTTGAAAATCAGATATCAGCCAGTTCTCAGTCTGCCTGCAGATGATGAGGCTGAAACACCTAAAAAGAAATGTGGTTTCCTTTGCACGGTCTGTTCCTTAAAAGTCATCACATATCTCAATGTAAAATCTCCTTTATCGTAATACCTGAAGAGAGTTTTCATTAAAGAAAAAAAGATTATTGACATAAAAAAAAAAAAATCCTTATATTCTTCACACAAAAAGAATGTATTGTGAGAGTGTGATTACAACCTGGTGGAAGAGAGGACTATGTGTGACGGGAAGCCCGAGAGCATTGAGGCACATGCCCAGCACCATGTCATCTGGCGCGTCATTGCTGTAGCACTTGCAGCCACTCTTAAGAAGTCGCACCACAGCTTCCCTGCTGAACACCATACTGCAGCAATGCATAAACATACAAAAAGGCATGTAAAAGACACACATAACACACTTATCTGAAGTATAAATGATAAATTTAGAAGGATTTTTTTTTTGCCAGGAAATTATATATGCATGCCTTTCTGCTATCATTTTAAGGTCCATTATGCGTATTTCATTCAATTGAGGGGGAGGGCAATAGAATAGAGTAAAATTATGAGCTGAGAGCGAGATGGGTTTTTTCATATAAATTGGCTCTGCGTAACAATGATGCGACAATTCAATGAAAAGAGAAACAATTACAGATGACAAAATGAATATTAAGCTGACAGAAAAATCGCTCATTGCCACTCAGAATGGGTCTTTTTTTTTTTTTTTTTTAGATATTATTCTTCAGAAAACTGGCAGCTGTAGTGTTGTGAAGTGTCACAGCAACTGAAGTGTCCCTAAATGGAGTTTCTCACACAGCTCACTCACAGCTCAAGATGTATCTAAAGCACAGATTTTGCCAAATAGGTGAGATTTGTGCTGGCCAAATAAAAGTGAACTACCACTTTTCCTTTCTGCCCACTTTATGATCTTACAGCTGATGTAAGCAAAATGGCACTAAAATCTGATTTTTAATTAAATTGTGGGTGTTTTTCTTTCACCTGCTTTAACAACTGATGGCCATTTGTGATTCAGTGGGGTTTTATTTCATATTTTTATTGAGTTCTTTTACTACAATGCAGTCTCCAAACTCATTTCCCTTAGGGGAGCGCTACACTTTTAAACTAAATTGAAAGGGTTTATCTGTAAATTACAGATTACGTTTTTTTTATTACACACTTTATAGTTCCTCTGCTGCCCCTGAATCTTCCATCATCATCATTCCCAGAGCATTTGAGCAGTGAAACTAACTCACCCACCACCTCCTGTTATGTAACTGTAGCCACCTTGGCTCAAGCCATAGCCGTATCGCTCCCCCAGACTCACTGGTTCAGAGGAGTCATAACAGCTCAGCAAGACTTGCAGTCTGGGGATGCTGGAGAAAGCACAGATCAAACTAATCACACACTCATCATCATCATCATACGCACATTCTGGTGCCTACACACCTAAGAAACTATTCATCTAGAGGGAGAATTAACTGCGCTCCCTCAGGCTATTTTAAACACCCAGAGGCTTCCAAATGAAGAGGCAACCTGACAGAAAGTGAAGCCAGCTGGACATGAAGTTGTATGCTGAGCTTTTTAGATGTTTGATAGAATGGTAATATCTCTGGAACTCCTTTTTACAAAGTGACTTCATTCCAACTGTCTCTCTCTTTCAACCTTTTCACAGCTAAGACAGAATCTGGTAGAAAATTTATGAATAAATGTCAGTCAAACAGTCAGACGAATGAAATTGCAGAGTTTAGGCCACAAATCCCCAAACAAACACATTTCCAAATGGCAAGAACATACCTGATAAGTGTGTCATCATCCACAATGAGGAGCCACTTGGTGTCCGGCACAGCGCTGCTTAGAAATCTTTGAAGGATTGCAAATGTTTTTCCACAGTGGCCTGCAAATACAGACATGCTATCAACAGAATGGCCAGTATGACTTAATCACATATTGACCATCTGGTTTACAAAGATAAATGACCCTGTTAGGAAGAAAATCACAGTTGGTATAAGCAGTTATTTATATGCACAGATGCCTTCATGCACACAAACGCAGGCACAAGGCAGTAGCAACAAAAATTATAGTCATTTATTATTCGGACTGGATTTGAAAGGAGTGAAGCAAACCAATAGTCACAGTTGTTAACTACAGAAAGAGCAATGTTTAACTTAGGAAAGCATACGAGACTTGATTTACAAGCTACGTTTAGATAACAAGTAACTAATTAGAGTTTTAGTCTCTCGATAGGGGCCTTTTTAGAAGGTAAGAAAAATAAGCACGACCATAGTGCTTTTTATTTGTAGCTTTTGCTTGTAGTTCTGCATTAACTTGACAGTGGTGTGGACTGTTTGGGCAAACAAAGAGCAGCTCTGCATTCTGCTCAAAGACACCTCAAAAGTATGCTTGCCTTTACACATGCATGTCAGCAACTGCACAGGTCAAACAGGTGAAGATCTGTTAAAAAAATGATTCACCTCTTCAAGCTTTGGATTGCACAGCAATGAATAAAATCCTCTCTGTGCTTTTCAGTGCAAAGATATGTCTTACAAAGGTTTGTAAGCAAAAAAAGAAAGAAAAAAAGAAAGCTCTTGTCTACATTCTGACATCTCAAAGAAAAAATAAGGTATGTTTGGAATGATGAGCCCGGAGATCAAACTTTTACTCTGGCAAGTTTGACATGACGGCCAGATGGAACAAAATTTTCTGCCAACTCCTGAAAACAAAAACAGTGATGTGGAAGTAAACAACAAATACAAAGAAACCAAAGAAATATGCCCATCAGAATCCAAATATGTGCACCATCAGGGCTGAGAGCTGAGACATGGAAATCTCTGGTGGCAAGCATCACAAAGAATACTGAGGCCTTACTGTTTTATTTATAAGGCACCCAAGGTGTTTTTGCTGGTATCTGAATATAGAATAAGAAGGGACACCTTGAACTGCTGACAGGAATAAAATCCAAAAACACGCTGATCTCTGGTAATCTTATATCTAGTCGTGGGAGTTTAGGGAAGATCAGGGTCGTTGATAGATAGTAGTTTTCTTCTTCATGTTTAATGCAGTTTTTAGAAGAAAAGAGTAAACAACCACAGCTACATTCATATGAACATAATACTACAGAAAGTTTTGCTTTGGCCCAGCTTTGACATTTTTTTTTACCCAAGTATTTGTTCATACTCGGCCGTGAACCGCACTCGTGCTTGCTTGATAAAGTTCCTATGCCACTTTTCCATTTCAAGGTCTTGCATCATTCTCTGCCTCACTTGCTGAGACTATATAAATTTTTAAACTCAGCCTGTTGAGTGTATTTTTTCCATTTTCAAAATAAATGTATACTGTAAAGATGTGGGTTTTCACCAGACTTAATATTTCTTTGTGGTTTCAGACAGATGCATGATGAGCTAGACAGTTCTGAGTTGGGTGAATACTTGTGTTAGATTTGTATTGTTGATTGTCATTTATGCTTAGAAATATCTACTCATATATCCTTAGAGTTGTATAATCGATGTCATGTTGGTAGAGGTTTGATCCTTAGTAGTCTGTGGAGACTTTGTGTGCATTCCAGAGTGTTCTGGCATTCACACCTACATCCTGGGAGCATGGGAGAGGTCGTACCTTCTCTTATTGTTTTGTGGTAGGATAAACGTATCTATGTCTTTTTTAGGCAAGGTGCCTTTTGTTTAGATGAACTGCTGGACTTCCAGACCAGCAGGTTTAGGGAAGTCTTTATGGGGTCACACTCTGACCCCACACACACACACACACTTACACAACGCACAGGCAAGGTACTCTTTGTTTGTATGTAGATGTCATATGTTAATGAACTGTGTATATTCATGTGACCTCAATAAAAGAGCAATGTTACGGGGGAACGGACGAGAGCAACTGGGGTCAAGCGAAGGGACGGCGTTTGTCCAGTTCTCTCACATGCACGAGAAACATAAAGAACTTTGCTTTTGCTGTGTAATTAAACTGTCTTCAACGTTCCAGCGAATAGGTTTAAGCTACAAACCTATCAACTTGTTTTTCAGGACAATGCGAATGAATTTATTTTGCGTCAGATCTGTTTTTACATTGGACTCTTGACAATAATTCTGTCTGCCAGTCTGTGCCTCTTTACTTGATAAATGTGACGGCTTATGCTGCATTTCATTTTCTTTGTGCACATGTAAATGCACGATATGGCTTTAAGATTTGCTCCGAGGGCACAGGCAACAATGTTAGTGATGAACACAGACTCTTGACATATCGATGCCTGACGACGATGAACTTCAAGGATGCTCTCAGCAATCATTAGCATAAAGTTTGAGGCCTTGGGAAAGAAGCAGAAAGAAATGAGCAAAAGAAATGGAAATTAATTTTTTATGTACCGATCATCTCCTCCTTTCCTTGAGACAGATATATTCCTTTTATGTCTCATTTCACTGCATTCTTATCTAATAATGTAATGGCCACTGTCCTCATGTTGATAAGTACCCGACACTGTTGCATATTTCTAAATATAGATACTGTAAATCAGTGAGGGGTTTTTCTGTTGTCGTGGTTTGTGGCTGGGGCAATCTCATTTAAAGTCTTTTACTAGATCTTTTACATCACACTGCAGAAATCCAATCTACCGTACATCCTCCAGGATGTAAATGCTATTATTAGTTCTGTTTGACTGACATTATGCACTGACAGTAGCTTACGTATCTGGCTATTTACCAGAATCACTGAAGATGCCCCTGCCTTGACGATGGACCGTGGACTGCTGCCATCACAGAAGGCAAAATTGGAAGGGAAGGAGGCACTTTCTTTTAGATTACCTGGGAGAAAGACTTGGCCAACACTGCCCTTTTGCTGAACAAGGTGTAAAACTCAGGGGCAAGTCATACCAACTCTTAGTACTCTCTTAGGTAATAAAGGTAATGTGTTGACTTATGCAAAAGAATAAACTCCCTGAGAATCCTGACAGCTTCAATTTCAGTTTTTTGTCAGAGCACAACCAGCTGCAGGCCTGTCTGGTTGGCTGTCTGCAGACTGTGAATGGCATCTTACCCTTACCCCATGTTCTATTGTCTAGAGAGAAATTATCATGAAATATCAGTTCTGCTTCGGGCAATAATTAAACAAATGTTCTTTAACCTAAATGATCTAAATCTTTAGGTAAGATCACATCCACTAGACTAAGGAACACTTCCACACTCTGCAATTAATTATCCATTTTTATTTATTCTTGCTTGCCTACTAAAACTAAGACAAACTGTAGCTTTAGACAACCATTTACGTATTTGATTGGAAGCAGATGATACAAATCTGTTATAGCGGCCTTAGAATTTAATGACAACTTCTCATGACCTTTTCTAGGCTAGTGTAGATGAAGTCTACGTGTATACTACAGTAGGCAGCACCTTAGTTTTTACCCATCAACTGTAAATGGCCGATGGTGTATTTTATATCTTGATAACGTGATAATGAGGTGATGGAAGACTTAAATTCATCCAACAGAAGCAGCTACTAAAAATCTTGGATGGGTTTTAATCTCAGTGGCCTTGATCAGAGGTCAGCTCGAGTTCAGACGTCAGCTTTACTGAAAAACACCTAGTATTTGTTCACATGTATACCATCAGTACATCTACTAGGAGGCTGTTGGGTAGCCCTGGGCGGTATCTTTTTAACACTATCAACATTGTATTTAGCCATATTTATATTTTAGATTTTATATAGTGATCATGTTCCCTTGGTCTGAATGAATTTAGATGTTCTTCTGACTGGACAACCAAAAAACCATTTCAGTAAATACAAAATCAGTAATACATGATATGCTACAGTGTCTATGGTAAGAAACCTCCTCATTGTGGATGACAAGCAGCAAAAGAACAAGTAAACAAAATAGTCAGTTTCCATCTCCATCAATGAATTCAACATGACTGAGTAAAGTATGAGCATTTTTACACTTTCAATTACCCCTAAGCAAAGCAATCACTCTCCATATACATCAGGTAGTGGCATGTTTAACGATTTCTCTTGGATTTTACTGGTTCTAAATCGATGTGGTTTTACTGTTTCAAGGGAACTGAAAGAGGATTACTTTCACTATAGCGTGGCCCTACTCCAAACAGCTGTGCATTAGCAATGCATAATAAGTTGCTGAGTGCACTGAGGGGGCCCAGGGGACTCCACTGTCACCTTGTTTTACTCTTCACACATACGACCTCCAACTGTACACCAGTTATGTCACCTTAAGAACTTGTGCATTTAAGACTTCACTACTATGAGATGTATACTTCTGCACTTTCCCCATCCACATTAGTAAATTTAACAAGATGCAGGTTTGTTTAGGTAAGAATTCCATATTCTTCTTGCGGAGTTATTTTAAACCCCAATGCAAGTCACAGAACCAACAGAGGCGTCAGCATGATAGAAATCCAGAAATCCTTTAATCGGATTTGCATATACCGTTTTTTTCTTCTGTTGAAGTTTGACTTTAAAAAATCAAAATTATTTCGGTCTGAAGTCTGAGAGCATCGACAGTGCAGAAGAACTATTTGTTTAGTGTTTGAAAAGCAAAGGCTCTCATTTTGGATTTGTTTAAGAGCAAGAAGTGCGTGAGACCTGCCACTATCTACAATGAGGAGGTGGAGATGAGGCGGCTCTCAGGTACGGGGGTTGCATATCAACACCAAACTGCGCTGATAAGAGAGTAACTTTGCTAGAGAAGGTTGGCTTTTATTCTTTGGAAGGCTCAGATCTGCATCATACTAGTACAAATTTACTAGCAAGTACCCAGTGGCAGTTTACATCTATACAGCGAGAGGTTGCAAGAGACATCCTTGTTAAAAGTGCTAAGCTGCCTGGAGACAATAACTGAAGGGAGGCACGGGTCTACACCAGAGCTCTGAACAACAAGTTTTACCTACAGTGGAGTTAAACTGGCAACAGCCGATGCAGCGTCTTACTAAGGTACAGAATGCGGCGTCTTTTGTGTCACTGTGTGCCGATGGCTATGAGGCTGTAGAATAAGTTTTTGCCCAAATGGACTCTGCCTGAAGCAATCAGAAAGGCACCAAAGCAGAGAGTTTGTACCGTTCTTGTAAACTACCCTGGATTGCTTGGTGCATTCTTCAGGTCTATGTATTTTAATTACTTACCTGTTTCCCATTACCATACCCAGTGTGATGCATTCCATAATTCTATAACATTACTATGATTACGTTACATCTGGACAGGTTCTGTCATTGCACCATAGATGCAATGATGAATTAAATACAAATAAGTAAGTTTTTGTGCCTGTATCTCTAAAAGTTACAAATAAATAAATCCTTGATATAAAAATGAAGGACCATAAATAAATTAGCTGAGATATCTTATTTTGCAAAAAAACCCCAAAAACAAAACAGACCTTATTGCTCACACAGAAATGAAGGACGCTTATGGATGAAGGTAGATGCAAAGAGTATCGGACTAAGCCATATAGAAAATACTTATCATTTCAGTGCACACTACATTGCATTTCATTTATTTATTGTTCTCGGTAGAACAACAATAAATATATCCATCCATCCCTTTGTAGACCAGCTCTGCATCATTTAGCTCAACAACATCCCCCAGTTCCTCCCTTAGGATAAGCTTGGTATGTTGTTGGATTAAAGACCCTCCTGGGGGATTGCAAGGTTTTCAGTCCACCTGAGGATGTATTTTTCTAGCAGAGAAACCAGGTCTGCCCCAGAGTCTCTTCCCAGTCAATCAAGTCTGATGCACCTCCTGCGGGAGCCTCCTTTGAGCTTTGTTACTAAGTGTAGCCAGTTGTTGTTAACCGCTGAACATCATCTATGCTACTTATCCTATCCAAGCTCTAAATGTAGATCCAATTGAAGCACGTAAACAGGAAATTGAAACAGCTGATGTTTCTCAGAAATGAAAAATTATGCTCAAAAACTGTATTCTTTTCATTTGTATGACACTTATCAAAACTGGTGTTACAAGGTGCTTCCCAGAAACATAGAATAAACAAACAAACTAAATGATAAAGCATTTTACATATCAGTCGAAATAGGCCACACTCGAGTGTAACATCAAAATAAGAATGAGAATGAGGTGGTTCCATTGTAAAGAATAAATTAAAATTAACACACATAACCTAAAGGTTAAAAGAATAAGATGCAAGTAGGATATAAAATTTATGTTAAAATGTATATAAAAAGCCTAATGATACAAATGAGACTAGCAGTGGTTTAACAGAAGACACAGACAGGGCCAGCTAGAGATCTTCAGGCAGATCATTTTACAACTGAGGAGCCCTAGCAGCAAATGCTCAATCACCTTTTGCCTTGAAGCAGTTGGTGGGAACAGTTAATCGTGTCTGAGGATCTGCACCTGAACTAGTTAAGATGGGAACATCACTTTGAGTGTATATTCTGGGGCCAGGTGGTGAAGGACTTTAAAAGTAAAGACTTTAAAAGTAAAGTCCTTCACCAAAAAGTAAAAAAAGTAAAATCTTAAAATCAGTTCTAAAAGTAATGTCAGAAAGCTGCTGCAATCTGAAGTCTAATCTAACCAAGAGAAAATAAAGGCATGGATGACAATCAATGAGTTTCACTAAAATGCAGAAGTGATCATATTTCTTAGATGGCAGTAGCAGGACTGGATGACCTTGCTTATATATGTTTCTTGAGGGTGAGACTAGAATTAAAAAGAACAACCAGGTTTTTGACAGCTGATTTTACATAAACTCGTAAAGGAAAAGGGGGATTTATACTGGGATGAAGCTTGTGCGACACAACAATAAGAATGTGTTTAATTTTAGAAAATTTGGAAAATATTTCTTAATATCAGTTCATTTGTAAGACTGGACAGGGTTTTGATTTTATTAGAGTGATAGAACAATGTGTCACTGGCATAGCACTGGGAAAAAAACTAATGTGCAGGTCCCAGTACAGACCCCTGAGGGTCTCCACAGTACAGAGTAAGCAGCAATGTGGTCACCGTAGAAAAATTCTGTCTGGTCTTCGAAAAGTTTTCAGTCCAGATACACCTGCTCAGTGCTTTGTCCCCTTGATCAAACTTTTATTGTTTACTGTGTCAAATATTGCAGTTACATGGAGTAACATCAGAGAAGAACAGTGACTGGTATCAGCAGTTCATCTGTTACCTTGCTAAGCACAAAATCTTTACTGTGGTGTCTGACTAAACTAAACCTGACTAAAAAACTTTTAAAATGTTCAGATGTAATGCTTCTAGAAGCTGTAGACAGACAATTGTCTATACAAGTTTTGTTGTAATACTTTGAAATCGCTCTTTAAGTTTTTCAGTAAGAAGGATTGAGGCCTGATTTTTTGATGAGTGGTTGCACACAGGCTGTCTTTAAATACTCTGGAGAGTGGCCAAAGGACAGAGAACTGTTAAATATTTAAAGTAGAAAACTGTTAAGTATTTAAAGGGGCAGTGACATCCAAAACTTCAATTAAGCATGTTGGAAAACAGGTAAGTAATTATTACAGTACAGCAGGATGGATTTTACATGATGTATACCCATTTTCAAAAAAAAAAGAAAAAAAAAAGAATGGGAAATGGGTATAGATCTTATAAACAGCACTTGTTCATGAATTAAATGCTTGTAAGGAGTGCGACAGCATAACACTGAAACTGCTACATCGGTGAAATGATTAAATAAACCAACTTTAGGAAACCACCAGCTTTAAAACAAATATTTGGAACAAAGACTAGTCATAAAAAGGTGACCTAGTATTTAAGTCCTAGAGATGGTAGAAGTCACCGAGGGATTATTGATTAAAGTGGTCAGTAGGTTAGAAAATTATAGTTCTTGGTCAAGAGAAGCTCATATCAAACAGAAGGCACAAAGCCAGTTTTCTAAAAGAAAAATATAAGTGCCTTACAAAAGAAAAACTGCAGCACACTTCTGCTGCCAACTGAGAAGAGTTTTATTCATGTCACTGTTTTACAGTAAATGGATTTTTATGCTGAAAAGTTGAAATACCCACTGACAAAAGTACTCCCGCTCAATCTGGTTCCAGTTCTCCTGAAATATTGGATTTGAATCACATCCCTTTCATGTGGTGGTGAAAGGTGTATAACTTTTAAGCCTAATTAGCCAGTTCAGCCTGGACCAATATACTAGGCCAGTAAGTGTATCTGTCGGTACAAGTGATGATTGGTGTGATGAAAAGTGAGGCTGTGAAAGGATAACTTACCCCTTTCAGTATTTGGAACACCTAAATTAATGGTTGGTATTGAAGGATCAGCATGATCGCTGTAGTACTCCAAAAATAAGGCGTCCTTTTCCCAAGTCTTCTTTATCACTGGCACTAGAGATAGAAGGAGAAAAATCAATACAGTGTTCAGAGTTTCACAACAAGCAGACCTCATGTTCTGTGCAATGTTTTCTGACCAAATGAAAACATTCTGATATTCTGTGTTTTTAAAGTAAATATTTTATTTAGGGAGATGAATCATTAAGGATAGTGAAATGATAAACAATGTTCCCTTTAATCCTTCGACTTTGTTCAGATTAGATTAATTCAGTATGTACCGACACTGTGCTCTTTTGTTACTTGGGGAAAAGCTTCTTTTGAGTTTGGCTTGGATGACTGGCTTTCAATATTTGATTAGACATATGATTAGTTACACCAAAGTAAATCACAAAACTTTTCAAAGTAACTTGTAAA